GGACGTGTCATACATTTTACATGCCCTCGGCATCAAGATACTTCTATCCTCAGTCACTAGATTCTGCTGCAATTCCCGAGAACATCTAATAAACATAACATGTTGTAATATAATATCAAGTCGTAATAGCAAATGGTATTAAATTATTCAGAATTATTATTACCTTTTCCACTGGAGTTCCAGAGTATTCTCTTGGTCATATATCAGATTGGCTTTCTCTTCTTATATCACTGTGAATTATAGACATGAGAACTATTCTGTGAAATATAATTGGACATTTCTAATTTGTTCACTTCATAAAGGCGTAAAGAAGTTTTATATTATTTTTGAAGTTACCACAAGTTCGTGCTTTACATTTTTCCATATTAAGTTTCACATAAATGCTTACTTGAATATAATTAATTACAGAAACAACATCGAACCACAAACTTTGATAGAAGATACAAAATGTCGAATGGCAAATCTAAGCGAGTAATTTGACGCTTTGAAACTAGTAGCGACATCTTTTTTTTCGCTAAAAATAGTAGTCCTTTCCAAAACAGGGTAATATACATTTGTTCGGAGATAACTCCCCATGGCGCAAATGCTCTCTAGGCACGGCTGTTTTCGAGCCTACCTACATCGCTTCAAGCACGATTTGGGCGAAATCGAAGATGCTAAGCATGAGTTCTTCGTGTGCCCGCAATTTGGTGCTCTACGGGACGACGTGGAAAAGACATTGAGACGAAGCATTATCCCAGGTAATGTTGTTGAAGTGATGCTGACAAGTGACTTGGAACGCCATAGTCAGATTTGGGAGAGCGGTGTTAATTGACCTGCGTTCTATGGAAACTTAAAGGGCGAATGGGACTTTGCCCATTTAAAACATGAGTAGAAGTTTAAGAATTATAACATTCATTATAGCAAGTTAAGAATTATAACATTCTAGATCCTCTCTCCACGAAGTAATGCCTAACGGCGGTTCCGTGGGGACCAGGGGCAAGGGTAAAGCGGAGATTTTAGTCGGTATTATACCAGGGCGGTATTGAGTCTGACAAACCCAGACAAAACACCAGTCTGGGATGCATGAAGGCATTTCCTTCGCTATACAAAAAAAAAAACACGGAGATTGTGTAGAAGCATTTACAATAAAATGATAAACTTAAAAGGAATGATCAATATGATTTGCTTAATGATCAACAATATATAATAACTACACAGAGATTGTGTAGGAGTATTTACAATAAAATGATAAACTTAAAAGAAATGATCAATATGAATTACTTAATGATCAACAATATATAACAACTACACAGAAATTGTGTAGAAGCATTTACAATAAAATGATAAATTTATAAGGAACGATCATATGACTTACTTAGTGATCAACAATATATAACAACTACACAGAGATTGTGTAGAAGCATTTACAATAAAATGATAAACTTAAAAGGAACGATCAATATGAATTACTTAATGATCAACAGTATATAACAACTACACAGAGATTGTGTAGGAGCATTTACAATAAAATGATAAACTTGAAAGGAATGATCAATATTAATTACTTGATGATCAACAATATATAACAACTACACAGAAATATTGTAAAAGCTTTCATAAGTATAATGAATTTACACAAACTGACTTATATTAATTTTTTAATGACTAATAATAATATATTTAAAAAGATAAAAACTTAGAAGAGAAAAGTATAGAGTCTAAGTATGTAGTATATAGAGTATCACTATAAATAATGGAATAGTATAATTAGAAGAAATGACAAATAATGCACAGTTTTAAAAAATAAATTCCACAGACCTAAAATATATATATTGATATAAAAATTGAGAGAAAACTAAATTCCAAAAAATAAAATTAATTTATGAGCATTTAGAAGTTATTTTACATTCTAATCAATCATTAATAAAGTTGCATTCTACAAAATCTTTGAATTTCTTATGATTCGATTGAATCAATTGAACAGTGCAGCGATTCTTTCGGCTTGCTCGTATGCTCTCTTAATTGAAACAATATAAAATTTCTTGCCCTTACATTTATTGTTTCCGGTATGTTAGAATCTTTTCTGAACATTTTTAATTATGTTGAAATTTATCCCTTAAATTATTGCATTGATTGTCTATCCTTCTTACTTCCTTATAACATAATAACATGTTGTAATATAATGTCAAATTGTAATAGCAAATGGTATTAAAATATTTAGAATTATTATTACTCTTTCCACTGGAGTTGCAGAGTGTTCTCCTGGTCTTCTATCAGATTGTCTTTATCATCTCCTGTCACTGAGAACTAGACATAAGAATTATTCTGTAAAGGATATTTGGACACAATTTATAATTTGTTCACTTTCATAAAGCCGGAAAGACGTGCGCGTTACCCTTTACCATGCTAAATTTCACTTAAATGCTTACTTGAATGCAATTAATTCCAGAAAAACATGCGAACCACTATAGATAAATAATCATGATGTCATTGTTTAATTATTTGTAATAATTGTAATATTTGTAATAATTATTTGAATTCCTTACAACCTTTGTTGTGCTTAATGCTGGCTATATACACAGCTTTGGGTCCATGAGTTTCAATTGAAATTTATTGAATTGAATATTTCTAATGATCATTTCGAATTTTCGGTTAGATATGCTTCGAGAAATGTGCAACTTTGTGTTTTTAATTTGTAAATATTTTAAAATTTTGTTATATTACTGTGTATTACTCAACTGTATTCTAACTTGATCTGTACCACAAATTTTGTTATTGCACTTACCTTTGGCTTATGTTTCTAGTAATATTGACAAAGATCTGATACTGATATCTTTAACATCGTGGACAAAAATGGGCGGTGATTTTAAGACTACTTCTTTTTCTGTTGGCTCTTGAATATCATTTAAAACTTCAAGAGAATTTCTTGTTAATGTAGGATTTAACCAATACTCTGTAAGTTTATTTGCTTTATGTTTCTTGTACTTCGCCTTGATCCATACTTCAAAGCCTACGGGTTTTGATCCTTGTATGGAGGTCAATAGTAAGTTGTTTATATGTATTCAAAACATGAGATGGCTCAGGATGGCACAGTAAAGGATTGTTCAAAAGTGAATTTTCTGAGAAGTTTAACGCTTTTCCGTGGCATGGGTTGTGGAATAGATTGTTCAGTATCCATACTTCTTTGACAACTAATAGTATTTCTGTTAAAATTACTTTCTATGGTTTTGAGTTTGTCCATATTTTTTTCGAAATTGTAGCTTTTGTTGAATTTATATCTATTCTTATGTTTGAAGCAAAATATGTTTGCGAATCTTCATATAATTTATTTCTTTTAGTAAAAGAACTTTCGTTAATTGTATTGCCATAAAAGTGGCACAAGAATATGCAATGTTAGCACACTATAAATAATTAATAAGTTAAGAACGCTGAATAAAAATCACTTATTTAAAGTCAGTATAAAAACAGATTATGGATTACACTTGCGCGTTCAATACATTGTTGCAAGAGCATTTCACACACGGCCGTTCGTGTCGAGAGTTCGACTTGAACCAGATAGTATAACTTTAAGAAATATTCATAAAAAAGAAATCTTAAAAGTTCTATCTATCTATCTGGAATAAAGAAATGCTGGATGTATATTTTTAAGGTATATTTATTTAGATGTTTATGCTTCGAAAGTTCTTGAAGAAGAGAATATACATTTATTATACAACTTGCACATCGGCATATACAAAGCTGAAGGTGGCGCGTAGTATATGCTACCAACCTATCAGCCATAACGCTCGTTGTTGACAGTTCACAACGAGCGCGCGAAACTTAAATTATAAATTTGAATGACAATTTTATCCATGCTCCCGCGCGATGCGAAAGCATCACAAAATATAAAACAAAATACAACAATGATAAATATTTACAAAAGATTATTTCTTAAGATCTTATATCTAAACTAATTAAAAACAATCATCTTAACGCTAACAAAACAAAACTTGAATATGAATAGTGGACTGTATAATGATATAATAAATGCATGATGATTAGTTGATCTTAATACAAATAGTTGTGTCTCAGTCTATAACAATAACATATCCCTAACTTAATATTATTTCTAGGTAAAACATTTATATAAAATTGATAACATATTTTAATTATTTATTATATTTTAACAATAATTGGATAACTTTAATAATAAATGTTGATAAGAAATACTAAAACATAACAGATAAAATGTATAGGCTAATGACAAGGTAGAGGGACGATTTTAGTAATTGAGCGGGTATAAACACCACTACTAGTCTTAACTTGAACTACTCTAACCTTGCCGTCAAGTCCAGGACTTGTACCTATTATACGGCCAATAGGCCAATGTAATGGAGGCGCATTGTCCTCTTTCAATAGAACTATTGTATCTAATTCAATATTTGGCCGTTCTTTTGACCACTTTTGTCTTTTTTGTAGGTCTGACAAATACTGTTTCGACCATAAAGACCAGAACTTATCTTTCATCTCTGCTATTTGTTTGAATAATTTAGTTGCCTTGACATTTGCAATATCGTTATATGGTTCTGGAAAAGATGTTAGGGCGTTACCAATTAAAAAGTGACCGGGGCTAATATAAGATATATCAGAGCTATCATCTGTGAGGGTAAGAAGTGGTCTCGAATTAAGTACAGCTTCGATCTGTAACAATACTGTCATGTACTCTTCGAACGTGAGACAGTGCGACCCGATAACCCTACGAATGTGATGCTTCATCACTTTTATAGATCCCTCCCATAAACCTCCAAAGTGGGGTGCATGAGAGGGTATGAATTGCCACGTTATCCCCAACCGAGCAGACGACGAAATGATTTCTTGTTTGGACATCTCAGATTGAAATAATGTGGCTAATTGCCGTAACTCATTTTTGGCACCAACAAAGTTTCTCCCATTGTCACTATGGATCACGGAGCAACAACCGCGCCGTGCAATAAAGCGTCGCAAAGCTGACATGAAGGCTTCTGTGGAAAGACTTGTCACTAATTCAATATGAATTGCTTTAGTGGCCATACAGACGAACAAACAAATATATGCTTTAATGCGCTACTGGATCTTAATTCAATTGGACCTGCAAAATCAACCCCTACCACCTGAAAAGGTCGATAGGCAGTGACCCTATCCTTAGGCAAGCTTCCCATTAATTGTTCAGTACTGGCTGCTCTGAATCTAGCGCATTTCACACACTTATGAATAATCCGTTTTACTGTGTTTCGTCCGTCAATAGGCCAATACCTAAGTCTTATGTTTGCCAATGTTGTTTGTGTGCCAGCATGCAATAACCTCTCATGTTCCGAGCGAGTTAGAAGGTCAGTCACTAAATGGTTTTTCGGCAATATAATGGGATGTTTCTGGTCGTAACTTACGTCTGCGTTTTCCAACCTTCCACCTACTCTAAGCAAGCCTTCGGCATCCACAAAAGGATTTAATGACTTCAGCTTGCTGAAGTTGGTGTCAAGTTGGTTACCAGAACTTAACTGATCAGCCAAATTGCCAAAAACCTCTCTTTGTGCTAAATAAACAATGCGCCTAGAGGCCCTCTCTATCTCGTCAACTAACAATGACCCTAAACGCCTGGAGCCCCTATCTGGACGACACATTTCTGGCCACCGAATCCAATAAGCAACCACTCTTACTGCTTTATTGAAGGTAGAACATTTTTCTAACACTAACTTCAAATGCTCATTATAAGCAGTAACAGTCGTTGCTGTTAATACTCGTCGCTCTGGAATTGCTTCTGTGCCAGTCTCAACAAACCTCTGAGGCCAATTAGTGGGATCCTGCAACAACCAAGCTGGCCCATGCCACCAGAGATTATACCCAATTAATTCTGACGGTGTTTTTACACCTCTGGATACTATATCGGCCGCATTATCTTTGCTGCAGACATGTCGCCACACTGTGCCTGGCGTGTGATCTAAAATTTCCGCAACCCTATTGCTCACGAACATTTTCAATAGGGAAGGATCCGTCTTCAACCAGGCAAGAACAATAGTTGAGTCACACCACAAGAAGGTCTCAGAGATTTTAATGTCCGATATTGTTGTTATCTGCTTATAAAGCTTTGCTAATAACAAAGCCGCAGATAACTCCAACCTTGGCAGTGTGACATTTTTCAATGGTGCTACTTTTGATTTAGAGCACAGTAAATGAGATGACACCGTTCCATCTGCATATGTTGCTCGAAGATATATACACGCCCCATATGCAAGCAACGATGCATCTGAAAACCCATGGCATTGTATATCCACAGGAACCGAATGGAACACACAACGTGGAATAGTCAGGTTATCAAGATCCGACAAATGATTTTTAAATAAATCCCACCTAACTTGCAGTTCTCGCGACAATGCTTCATCCCAATCCAGATTATGCCTCCACAACTCCTGCATAACTAACTTAGCTGTAACAGTAACAGGAGATACGAGCCCAATTGGATCATAGATCTGCGCTATAGTTGATAGCACAGACCGCTTGGTATCAACAACCTGCTGGGCCTCCGCAACCGAAACCTTAATTTGTGAGATCTTAAAACAATCCTGTGAAGGATTCCATGCGAGGCCAAGGGTTTTGACTGTATCTCCTTCTGAAAACAAGGCTACAGCTGAGCTTCTATTCTTTTCAGGAATTGCTTGCAGCACCTCTCTGCAATTGCTCGACCACTTGTGCAACGAGAAACCACCTTCACCTAATAACCTGACAATCTCCCCTTGTATCCTAACAAGATCGTCCGAAGTGTTCGCTCCTGTGATAATGTCATCGACATAACAATCCCTATCTAAAACTTGTGCAGCCCTTGAATATGTTGTCAAATTGCTTTGAGCAAGCATCTTCAAACACCGCATAGCCAAGTAAGGAGCGCATGCCGTGCCATATGTCACAGTTGTGAGCCTAAAAAATTTCAAAATCTCTTGGGGATTATCTCTCCATATTATTAACTGATACCTTTGATCCTCGTTTCGAACCTTAATCTGACGGTACATTTTGACAATGTCCGCCACAAAAACAAACTGCTGGCACCGAAACCTAACTAAAATGGAAAAAAGGTCTTGTTGTAATTTTGGTCCAGTGTGTAAGATATTATTCAGCGAGATACCTGAAGATGACTTTGCTGAAGCATCAAACACAACTCGTATCTTACTGAAATTTCCATCTTTTACCACTGGATGGTGAGGCAAAAAATAATAATCATTCCTGACAGCTTCCTCCGGAGTTAACACAATTTGTTCAGCATGACCTAAATCAATATACTCTCTTACAAATTTGGAGTATGCTTCAAACAAGCTGACATCCCTAGCAAACCGCCTCTCTAAATTCAAGAATCTATGTTTTGCAGTAACAAATGATGATCCAAGCCTTTCAACCTGGTCTTCCACAAACGGCAAGGCTACCTCAAATTGGCCATTTTCAAGGCGTGCAACATTGGCCATAAAATGATCTTCACATAGCTTATCTGAACCCGTCATAGCATTGTTTTGAAGAAATTTCTTCCAACTGCCAAAACTTCGTCAAACTATTGTGAAGATCCTCATTAGAAATAAGACCAACGTGTACATTACCTTGAAGTTCTGCCTTAAAGACACCAGAAATCAACCATCCGAAAGAGCTTTTCCTTAAAATAGGAAGATGATTCCCTAGCCTAATACATCCTTGCTGCAAAACATCAAAATATAATTCTACTCCTATCAGCATATCCACGCTGCCAGGCACATTAAAAGACGGATCTGCCAACGAGACATTGTCAGGAATCTTCCAGCCTTCATAATCTATAAATACAGATGGCAATGAATGCGTAATTCTATCCACAACTACACAATTAATGTTTCTAGAGAACGCACCTAGCCTAGATTTGACAGTCAACTTTACTGCCTTATTGCACAAAAAGCTTTGACCTTGCAAAACGCTCAGTCTATGTACCTCTGAGTTAATGGGACATTTCAATTTCGCCAAAAGAGAATTAGTTATTAGATTTATCTGAGACCCACTGTCTAAAAGTGCTCTCACCGTATGTTGTGCTCCCTCCGCGTCAATGACAATAAGCGAAACAGTTGATAACAAGGTTTGTACGCCTGTGTTGCTAGCCATACAAACCGTGCTACTTTGAGAAGTGCTGGGCACAGGCTCAGGATCCTCATGTAGCAAGGTATTGTGAGAGGCTTTGCATTTTCCACAGGTGTATTTGAATCTGCACTTAGCCACACTATGTCGAGATGCCAAACAACGAATACATATCCCATGTTTACTAATGAAGCTCTTTCTAGCTTCTGTATCTAATGATTTAAAATTGGAACACTTATATAAGGCATGATCCTCCCCTTTACAAAGAATACATGACTGTGTAGGCCTCTTGACAATGGTATGAACACTCTTTGTTGACGCTGGTTTGCTGTCTGAACTACACGAATGTTCCAAAGCAGTTACCCGAAGTTCCAAAAAAGTAAAAAATTCCACTAAGGATGGTAACTGCCCTGACGTTCTAGACAGATTCCAGGCAACCTTCGTACCAGTATCAAGTTTCCTACTCAGCATGAACAGCAAAATTACATCCCAATGCTCGGCAGGTTCATATAGGACCTTTAATGACTGTATCTGTTGTCTTGCACTATTTAAAAGGGCCCTCAGATTTTCAAAACTTCCTTTATTAATAGCTGGAATATTCTCTATACTCTGCAAGTGCGAATTAATAATCAAAAATTTATTGTTATATGTTTTAACTATGAGGTCATAAGCTATATCATAGTTCTCATTAGAAATACTGATTGTGGAGATTAAGTTGGAAGCTGAATTTGTGAGTGCACCTCTTAAATAGTGCAATTTTTGTACAGGTGCTAATTTAGAATTATTATGAATTAAACTATTGAAAATATCTATAAAGGCTGTCCATTCATTATATTCCCCATTGAATTTAGGTAATATGATATCGGGCAATTTCACATCTATTGAAGCGTGAGCACCTTTCGCAATAGGTTTCTGATGTCGGTCAATTATTGTTTCTATTTCCGACATCATATCAAAATAAAGCTCTGAGTACTTAAGGTATTCAGCAGTATGCGTACCTGGACTGATTGCTTCCAACTGTACATAATTTTCGTCCCAATCGTGACTTCTCTCGACTAATTTTTGTTTACGTACTGATAACGTTTTAATGTTACCGCCCTCACTAAAGCTACTGATATATTTATGAATTGCGTCAAATGATGCTTTAATCATCCTATGCGTACTCTCTAATGAAGCTAAGTCTGCCATTATGATTGCAAATATCAAGTAACCAACTAATCAAGGCAAATATAAAGAGACTTTTGAAATAAGGTACTCTATAACAATGAGGTACAATTAAACAATATCTATAAGTAAGTAACAACAAATAACTAAAATAACTAAATGTAACAAGAAAACAAATAAATTTTGAATTATAAACACTTATTGTTAATAAAATGTTCTTTGTACATATGTACACTTATAGATGTCAAAGTAACACTCACGACTCGTGTATAGGTTATACACGACCAATTTCCTTCTCCTCTCCACGTGATAGTCGAAGTTAAACAGCAATATCCTCACCAACAAGGCCAAAAAACTGCTTGGGGGGTGCTGAGTTTCACGTGGACATGGAACCGGCAAATAGAACAATCCTTGGGCAGCGACCTGTATCCTAACCTCAAATTAGGTTCATCCAAATCTTCGAAAATTGTAGATTACAGCGTCCGAAAGCTAGCCCCAAGTGATTAAGATGCTCCTTCTTCTCTTTGATTATTGAACGACACAGAACCATTCATGTGCCGCATGCATAAACAAAATTATAACCAAAATAAAACACCGCACTGTTTTTACAGGCTTTAAATACCTCTCAGCGTTCAATAATTGCAAAACTATTCTTTGCACTAGTACTTATCCGGCTCGAAGGACCATTTATGGAATAAAGAAATGCTGGATGTATATTTTTAAGGTATATTTATTTAGATGTTTATGCTTCGAAAGTTCTTGAAGAAGAGAATATACATTTATTATACAACTTGCACATCGGCATATACAAAGCTGAAGGTGGCGCGTAGTATATGCTACCAACCTATCAGCCATAACGCTCGTTGTTGACAGTTCACAACGAGCGCGCGAAACTTAAATTATAAATTTGAATGACAATTTTATCCACTATCTAAAAATCTAAAAAGTTCAAGAAAAATATTATTTTTTGACATTTTCAAAGTTTAACAATTCAAAAATATGTGTATAAAAGAATTTTTTTTAAATTTAAATTATTTTCGCACTTTCGCAGATATTTTGCTTCACCACGTGTTTGACCACGATAATCTTTCTCTGTTTGCTTTCTCAGAAACATTTTAAACACGTTTTTCTCAAAATTTTTCCATTTTTCAACTTCTACTGAACCAATTTACTTGATTTTTTTTACAGAATCCTATTTATAGACTTTTCTTTAGTATGAACTATTATGAAAAAAATTGATAGTAGAAATATCGTTTGCTTTTAAAAAATTACACGAAACCCATGTCTCTAGACTACAATACGCATAATAAACTAGTGGGGTGTATGGTATTGTGCCTTAGGGCAAATTGCTGGAACTTTCCGAACCGTAACGGAATGTTCGAGGAATATTGAATGTTTTCAAATAGATTATTATAAACATTGTAACATTGTCTAATATTTATAAGAATTATATAAACTGAATTGCAAAGTTGAAATTATTTGTTTAAAATATATTAGAACTTTAGCCAGAATTAAAAATAAAAATGAATTATTTTCGATATACAAAAAAAAGTGAAAACAAAAATGAAAAAAAAATTTGAAACAAAATTTCTTATTCCAAAATCAATTATTTTGTTATAACAAGCAGAAAGTTCCTTAAATCATTTAAATCGGACGCTTGGTTCTCTCAAAAACTGCCATTTTTGCACATTTAGCCTTGTATCTTCAAATTGGTTGGGCCTGCCTTTGCCAAAAACTAATAACCACTTCTCCCAATCATTACTAACTAAATGTTTGTTACATCATTTAAATCAGATGCTCCGTTCTCTCAAAAACTCGATTTTTATTTACTGCACTCTTTGCTCTTTATCTACGTAACTGCTGGTCCTGCCTTTGCCAAAAACTAATCAGCACATCTCCCTATCAATAGGAATCGAATGTTTTTTGAACCATTCAAATCGGTTAATCTGTGCGCTCGAAAATGTGAACGAAAAATTGTAAATATATACGAGGTGTGTTCAAAAAGTACCCGGAATTTTTAAATTTCGCGGGTCTGGAGTGCCTGATTGTCAAATTTTTTTTTTATTGTGTTGGTATACATGCCCCTAAAGTATGATGAAATTTTCAGCTATATTCACTGTTTACTTTGTCTGTGGTAGTCGCTAAGGTTCGACGTGTTTTTCTGAGCTCGGCGATTTTTACAATGGAAGAATTGAAAAGTCAAAGAATTTGTATTAAATTTTGCGTAAAAAATGAAATAAAGTGTAACAAAGTGTGTGAAATGTTACAAAAAGCCTATGGTGAGTCTGCTATGAAAAAAACAAGTGTTTACGAGTGGTATAAGCGTTTCCAAGATGGCCGCGAAGACGTTGAAGATGACGAACGCTCCGGTCGACCCAGCACGTCAACAAACGATGAAAATGTGAAAGAAGTGGAAAAAATGGTTATGAATGATCGCCGAATCACAATTAGAGACTTGCTGATGAAGTTGGCATATCAATTGGCTCATGTCATAACATTTTTTCAAATGTTTTGGGCATGAAACGAGTGGCAGCAAAATTCATTCCAAAACTGCTAAATTTTGACCAAAAAAGCAATCGCATGAACATCGCTCAAGAGCTGTTAAATGACGTCAACAACGATCCAAGTTTGCTTGAAAGGGTCATAACTGGTGATGAAACATGGGTGTACGGTTATGATGTCGAAACCAAAGCCCAATCGTCCCAATGGAAGAGCCAGGTGAGCCAAGACCGAAAAAAGCACGTCAAGTTCGATCGAATGTCAAGGTTTTGCTTACTGTTTTCTTTGATTATAACGGCATAGTGCATCAAGAGTTCTTACCACAAGGTCGTACGGTTAATAAGGAGTATTACCTTGAAGTGATGCGACGTTTGCGTGAAGCAATCCGAAAAAACGCTCCGATTTATGGAAAAACAATTCATGGCTGTTGCACCACGATAACGCACCTGCTCACTCGTCGTTGCTTGTTCGTATTTTTTGGCCAAAAACAATACCGTAGTCATGCCCCAACCTCCATATTCACCAGATATGGCTCCGTGTGACTTTTTCCTATCCCAAAGTTGAAGAGACCCATGAAAGGACGGCGGTTTTCCTCGATTCAAGAAATAAAGGCCGAATCGCTGAGAGTGCTCAAGGACATATCAAAAAGTGAATATCAAGGGTGCTTCGAAAATTGGAAAAAACGCTGGCATAAGTGTATTATATCTGGGGGGGACTACTTTGAAGGGGACCACATTAATGTAGACGAATAAATAAATATTTTTTTGAAAAAACGAAAATTCCGGGTACTTTTTGAACAGACCTCGTACATACATACACACACATCCATTTTTTCTGATTAAGGTATGCCAAAATATTCAGAAACCTTCAAAACGTCGAGAAATGCAAGAAATTTTAATTTCGATTTTTGCACGATTACAATAACTTACCCTACGGGAATTTAATAAGCATAATACCCCCTTAAGTAACTAAATTCGTATACCAAATAAAAATTTTGTGGGAAAGTACTTGAGAGTCTGAGTATTTAAAACAAATCTATAAGCTGTGAAAAACATGATTTTTCTTTCTGTGACGCATTGCATTTTTGACATATGATATTGAAAATAATGTTATAATTTCTAAAAATCTCCAAAAACTCGATCGCGAAATGTGTCGATTACTGGAGGTGTCGGTCTATCAAGTGTCGGATTAGTGAGAGTCTACAGT